ACTGACAAGTTCTTCACTGGAGTTAACCAGTTAGCTGCTCTCTCACCAGTGCTATTACAAAGATTATGGTGGATGACATTTAGCTTGAATCACCCATCGTTCTAAATTGTGTAAACCAAATCATTAATTATTTTCAATACAGCATATGACCCCTCCCAAAACCTGTATATTTTTGTAGTTCGTCATTTCTTATGTCGGAGATTGTATAGCCTTACCATGTCACCTCATTGAAATCCATTCTTATCAGCATTAACATCATAAGGGATGTTCATTTGATCACTAGTTAATTTAAGTCTCTTTCTGATAATGTCATGTACAACATCAACGGTGTTCCTTAATTTCTCTACATAGTTTAAGTAAGACTCCTCTGAGTGACGTTTTTCAAGACGAGAGTACAGGAGGCTCAATGACACTTTAAGGTCTCTCTCAAACATCGGTAATGATAATGTGTTGCTTGTAGTTTCATGCACTGCTGTATGATAACTTATCAGCAATAGAAGAAAATGTGTTTCCAACGTTTTCTGATATTCATCCACATGGCTATTTGATTTTATAATATACTGTTATATCTCTCCACCATGCTGTCCAAAGATGGATGAAGGGATGTTGTCCTGGTCTTTTTAATCCCAAAGATTTGAGATATCTCTGAAAACAAGTTTCATTCAAAGTTCTATCGCTGATCTAATTGGAGTTCCATAGGCACACCAAACCTTGAGATAAATTCTTTGACGAGTTTTCTTGCCAAAGTTTCTGCTTCCTAGTTAGAAAGAACACATACTTTGGATCATTTCGTGAAATAATCTACAACCATAATGTATCTATTCCAATTATTACTCTGTGGCAGACAAGCAAGAACACTGACAGCAACTCTATAAAGTGGTGCTTAAATACAATACTGCTTTTCTTGCCCATACTGTTTTTTGTTGTGGACCTTTTCGCTCACAATATAGTTGACATGATATACACATATTTTCTACATATCTCCGATACCCAACCCAATAGAAATGTTATCTTACTCGTTCCTATGTTTTTCTTAACACCTAAGTGTTTAGCCATTGGAAGGTTGTGGGGATAATGGAGTGTTTCAGAATGTGGAAACTGTGGATGTATCAGCTGTAGTCGTTGTTTCTCTCCACTGGTATCTTGCAATGTCTGACATAGCAAGTCTCCTTGAAGACATAATGAATCCCTCTGTACTTCGTACATCTTTGTCTTAGGGCTGTATGGTGCATTTGTTGACCAGGTGGCTTTTTCTTCCCTATTCTTGTTTATTCACTGAATAATTTATTTGAAACTCACATCTTTATCCTGAACATCTTTTAGTCGAGCATTGGACCACATTAGTTCTTCATCATCACTTGTGGACGTCATATCTTGGATTATACTCTGTTGTACATTAGGTTGGTCGTCTTTGCAATCTTGTGCTTCCTACTTTTCACGGTGTGTACACCCTTTATTAATATATGATCTTCGAGATAACACACCAGCATTTCCATAGTTTCGTCCAAGGTAATGCACAATATTAAACTCGTTCTCCCGAAGTTTTTGAACCTATTTTGTTACTTGACCTTCTGGATTACGAAAATTCACCAGCTACTCCAATGCTGCATAATCGAAGTGTAAACCTTCGTCCATAGAATTAATGATGGAAATGAACTTTGTGCTCGAATAACACTTAGTATTATTTTTTATGTTGTACAATATTTCCTTTCTGTAGCATTTATTGCCTTGGTATAGCAGGTATACACATGCCTCTTTTCATGTTGTACTTACGATAACAGTGCTCCATCTAAGTTACAACATAAAAAATACAGCTTACAATGCAAAGATCAATATTTTTGACTCACTTTGGAAATGGATATTCTTAAAAATTGCAGTGGTATCATAGCTGCCTAGTCAATTTAGAATATATTCTCCCTGATTTTACAGAGATGTTATGTTCTTAATCAGCAGAGACGTCACTATGTGCTTAAGAAGCGTGACGATCAAATCTCACTATTCAATTGGACAAGATTAGCCTTAGAGTTAGTTATTTGTACTGTTGACCAACTGTCTTCCCGCTAATCTATGGGTTATCACAGTTAGCTCTCGAGTAGCTTTGTGCGAATATCCGAAAACAAAATAACACATATCTTAGGGGCGAAGACTTTTTTTTTTGTCTTAGATGAGTTGTCAGCACAAGTTACTGTTTGATCTTATGCCACTGTTCACCGTTAATTCAATCTTAAGCTCTATAGCATTTGGCCATTCTTCACTGTTGGTTTTAAGTTGAGCTTATGTAATTCAATACTTCTTTACTAGAGCTATTCGCAAAATAAAGAAACACACTTTGACCAACAAATTTATTTGATACTCAAATATACTATAAGAATATATCATGTTTGGGGATTTTTGTTAAATTTTATAGATGCCACTGAATCATTGTATCCACGCCATTCCTTTACCATGCAGATTTCATGATTAAATTAATTTTTCTTTGTACACTTATACAAAACATGTTTAACAGCAACTATTATTGACAACTCATGAAAGAAAAATAAGTTTTACCCAGAAATAGACGTGAACCGAAATATAGTTTTATAAAGTTTTTTTGAGCTTAATTGTTAATTTTAGAATCTTGAAAGTCCAAAAAGGGAAATATATTATATTAGAAGTCAATAACAACAATAAAAACACAACTTGATAACAAATACAGAAAATTTGGTTTACCTGCTTTTTTTGTTGTAGCTTGGTGGATGCGGGTCGGTAGAATAGAAATTCTTAATCACACACGTACGCGAGTGTATGTGTAACAATTCTGCATATACACTGAGTGGTCACAAGTAAATAGACACCTAATTT